TTCCAAAGGTTCTACGCAAACGACTGACCGGTAACGATTTGGCCAGTTACAAATACATTATGAGACATAACTATAAAAAACTCATAAGGAAGATCCCAAATAGTTGCGGACATTCACTGTTGCCGTTATAAGGCCATTGTATGACCGCTATAACGTTATTCTATTACCGTACAATCAATATCCGGACATTTGCTACCTTTCAGTTTGGAACGGCCCGCCGGGCCCAAATTACAATTCCCCCGGTCAACTGGCTGAAACTTGCCCACATTACTCCCACACTGCTGCCAAGTAACGGGACAGGTTTGGGGATCCGTCCATAAAATTGGCAAGGAAACACCATTGACAGTAAGCTGGATAAAGCTTGATGCAATAAAAATGCTAGATATGTTATAACTTTTTGTATGAAAATGAAAATGTTTTATTTTATAAATAAAGTTGATTAACATAATATTTTGGTAACCATCCTTTTAAGTATAAGAATACCTGTAGTAGGAGGTTACCGTTCTTCCAAAAGTATTAACTACTATACTATTGTAGAGCATTAAAGATTTTTTTTGGATTTCATACCACAAAACCGGTGCATGTTTGTCTACTAAGCTATGAAGTTCTAACGCAAAGAATGTCAATCTGAAGCTACCTCTATCTGAACCTAGCTAGATCTTCATTTGGTGTCTTGAATGAAATAAAATAGTTCAATACATAATTTTGGATGTATGTAAGTCTAGTAGTTATTACACATCAAACCATTGGTTTCATCAATTTCACACTGTTTTCCAGATGGACAGGCTCTACCAAATTGCCTTTACGCACCCATATCGTAAGGTGTCACGCTCGCGCTCCAATGAACCAATATGTGTCTAACTGAGGCCCAGGCCACATAGCCAGGGGCTTCATTAGTCACCAATTGTGGCACCAAGCAAGTATCCTGTTGAATGGACACCGTAAACAAGGCATGGTATTGGTAGCAATATTAGCGAAATAATATAGCTCAATTAGCACCTCTGTTTGCTTCAAGTGCACGCTATTTTACTCATCTAACAATGCTAGTGGCTTGGACTGAATATTGGAAGGCTGGACTAGATTGCTACGTGAATGAGTGAAGACCGAGGGAGAGAATTTACTGAAATATCCCTCCTATAGAACACAACAAAAAGCAAGACAAAATATCTGATTATGACCCAAGTCGATCAGATATAAAAAGGAGAAAAAAATACTAACAAAGCGTAGCATCTCCATTTTATGTACAGTCGCGGAATGAAAAGGTTCGTCACCTTAGTGTCGGTTTTCGCTTGCACTAGGTACTGTAAGAGTCAAACCTGCCAAGTCTGCCAACATAACAGTGCAAGAAACAGTGCTGCTAACATTTAAATAAATATGACGTTTGCTAAAGAAAAAGGTTTTGCTTGTTTATTTTTCTATCCCATCAGTGCAATGCAATGATGACATTGACCAATTGACAATAGTTTTTTTTATTTAATAGAAATAATAATGGCAGGTTGAACCAACAAGGTTTCAGTTTATCAATCATAATAATCTTCTTGACAAGATAAATCGTCAAACAACTTTGATCTGAATAATTTTGAACTTTACTGACGAACAGTTAAAGATTATTTTCTCTAACTCGAGGTTATTCTGTAACATAGTTTCAAAAGGTAATATGTGCTCGCGATTCGTTGAAGGAATCAATTTGAAAACTGACGAACCTTTTCATTCCGTGACTGTACTACCTACATATTCTGCAATATTTCTGATGGTAATTAATAAACATTTTCTTTGCTCTACCACCTACATAATTATTTACTTGTCGAAATCATGTTGTCTATTGAATTGCACAAAAGATATAATTAAAACACATACATAATATTAGTTGCTCTGAATTCTGAAAAATTTTATAAACCGTTAAGCTGTAAGTTTGTGATCCAACATTTCCAGGTAAACAGTGGTACTTATGAATTACAAATTTAAAAATTGTAATAATAAAGCCTCCAGTCAATGTTTATAGTCAGTGCTTAATTGTTTATATGCACAGTAAGCTCCTGCTGAAAACGTTTTTAATTATTTAACCCGAAAGTATCACTTAACATCAGCTGCGATTGCGGTCAAATACCACCTGCCCTGTTCTGCATAAAAAAGCCAATGCTCGATCCGTTCATTTGCCTCTATAACACGATATTTCGTAGAAACTGTTGCCAATAGTTTTTCGTGAGACCCCTAAAAGCTGTAATCCGACTCGCGTTTATACCACAAAGGTTTGTCTCAAAGGATAATACTCCACTTAGTTGGGCGATTCAAGTTTATTTCAGTAGAGTTGCGACTTGCGAAGTCCGTCGGTACCGAACGCTTGTGACAACGGCCTGCTATAGCCCGCAGAGTACTTTTATAGCCGTTATGGGTATTTGATAAGGCGTTATGGGTTTTGGGAGTTAGCTGTGTGATGGATAAAAATGTTTGAGACAGTATAGAGCGGGACGACAAACCCAGATGCTATTAGCTACAGGGTCAGACGCAGCTGTATTTTATTGGCTTCAGCTTTTTCAATGTTGTTTAGTAAAATACGAAAGATTAGTAGATGCTTGTTTATTTTGTAAAATGATTTTCAGAAATAGTATCATTGCAGGTTTTTGATGGTTCGATCGAGTCATTTTGAGAATGAATAGAACAAGAATTTTTAAAATCTTTCCTCTCAAAAGTACCTGAAATAAGTAATGTTAAATAATTAATTGTTGTTTTTGTTACTCTCACTCAATTTAAAGTTGACACAGCGTTAAAATTTTAGTACAATCTTTTGAATGTCACGTGAATTTTAAACACATTAAGCATTTTGCGTTAAATATCTAAAAAGCTCTAAAATGGGAGGTTGACGAAACATTTTAATACGGTTAAGAGAAAAAGCTCCTAAATTACTGTCAAACTTTAAGTGTAGCAACTATGTACTTGGAAATAATTCGAGAAATTTTAAGGGCTGCTAAATTGGTGGAGAAGTTTTTAATTAAATTTATCATTTGAGAGCGTTGTTAAGACTATATTAACGTCACTCAGATACCTAATGTTGAAGTTGGGATTCATAAACAAATGTAAGCAAACAGTTTCTATGCAATACCCAAATGGTAATTAATTTAATACAACATATTATAACAATACCCAAATGGCATTTAATTTTAAGTTAGTTTTGAACTATTTGATTATATTTGCTGCTGGAACGTATCGTTTTCTAAAGTTTTTTCAAACGATTCGTTTGAATGAACTGTAAATAAAACACTATAAATAAACTTATCGTATCATTGATGTCAGGAAACGCAGCTTAAACTCTACAAAATGGAGCGTTAGCATTCGCAAAGTTGGTCACAATATTATTGACCTTAAAGGTTAAGCTCTAACGTAGTAACGCAATATGCGTGTAGGAGCATGTGGTAGAGCTGCCTTAATATGGCTTTATTGAATTTTCATTTTTAATTAAGTTGGTGTTATTGGCGTTAATAGTAACTCATAAAATTTGTAAAGCCTTTCCTGCAAAATAGTACTAATTGGAAGTGTTTACTTAGATAGGTATGATTTCGATTTAATGATTGTCTCAAGATTAAATTTATTTTATAACCTTAAAGTCTGAAAATGAGTCGTCAATTACAGGCCAACGTTGAAATCGGTACTAAAGATCCTTGTTAAAATGAGCCTTCAGCTAAAACATACATTGATTCACTAAATAACAGTTTATTTCCTTCCTATAAATTCGTTCGTTTCAAACATCCAAGGCATCGACAGAATTGAAAAGCTTTGTTTGGAGCTTTAATGTTATTACGTCAAATGACATTAAGTCTATAAAGGATTACGAAGAAGTATCTTATTGTTCTTTCTGAGAAATTTTACCTCAAACTATCGTATTGAAATAAAAATATATTGTGTTTTTGCGACAAGGTGAAAAAAGGCTTTTGAAAGCTTTTTTATGTTCTTTGTTCGTATGTCATTGATTGATTGATTAGAAAACAAAACAAAGTCCTATTTCTTCAAATTTTAGTCGTTAGTCAGGCGTAACATTTCTCGCCTACGCGACTAAAGAGTCTCCTGGGATATAATTTTAACTTTGCCTAACCTCATCAAATAACATAATATTATTATTTCTTAGAAAACTAATAATAATAGAAGCTATCTCCTCAGTATCTCGCACGATTATAAGACTCGTGACAATTTACAAGAAAACTTCTCAGCGTCCCACACAAATACTTTACGTTACACAATTCGTGCTTAGTACCCAAAGTATGCTTATGTCATGTCAAAATTTGGTAACAATGCGTCAACTTTGCTCAGGCACCTTTGGGCAAAACGGGACGTTGGAGGAATCTCAACTTTGTTTTTATTTAGGGAGCTGGAATAAAACAATAAACACCTTTTCGGGCAGTAGTTTAAATCGGAGACATTAACGAATTTGAGGTTAACGACACGCGGGCTATCTAGGTCGAATATGCTTTTTCTTCTATTTGTTTACCCAAAAATGTATTTTCCAGTCGCATTTTAAATTTGCACTTCGTTGTTATTATTAATGTTCACGTTAAGAGTTAATTTTTTTGTCTCTTTACCTTACCCACGTTTTCTGCTTTAATATTTCCACTATTATTGGTTATCGTCATCCCCATAGGTAGTTATAGGGAAAAAAATAAGTATCGATTTTATAATCAGCTCGATCACTTACATGCCACAATACATTTTATAGTTATAGGTCTTCTTTCAAGATCTCATCTGCCACAAGGGACTATTAAGTTTCTTAGCTCAAGTTTTTGTGTATTAGTGTAATTTTTTTTTTCAAACTTGATTCTTTATCATTTCATTTAATAATATTGTTAAGAGTCAATGTAATTATCTCCATACATTTTCATGTCTTTGGATAAAGGTATTCAATTTATTCCGTTCCGTTATTTTTTTTTTCATTCATTTATCTACCTAGCATGTTTTACAAGTTTAATCATAGGCACTCCATTACTTCACTAGCTTACTCTACGAACACTCACCCAATATCCCCAGCCTGTAGTTGATAGTGACCACCACCAGCCCAGCATGAGAAGCCAGCACAGTCCCATCGTAGGGATTCCCCGAGCTCCACTCGTAGCTCTCTCCATGAACGAACACCAGTACCGGGTACCGAGACACTGCGTCTCGTACGCCTGCTGCAAGAAAGGGTAGGGTTAGTGGACGAATTCAAACCAGTGGACGACAGTAATGCTGAACACTCTGACATCTTGTTCCTATTTAGATACTAATAATTATAGAGGGTTAAAAAAATATTAAAAACGTAAGGATCATTAAGGATATCACGTTAATTAAAATAAAGCTAGCAGAGTTCATCTCTGCTAATCCTACCTAGTCGAAATAATGGGAGCGTTGGCGGAAAAAAGCGCTTAGAAGTGTTTGTAAGCAAAATGGCGACCGGTAAGCGGTAAGCGCTGTCACTGCTAAAAATGAATGAAACACGTCACTATTGAAGTTAGCAAACGTGTCCAAGCGCTTTTTTGCGGTTTTTCAGCGCTAGCAAACGCTTCCAAGCGCTTTTTTCCGCCAAACGCACCCTTTCTTCTTCTTTCTTTTCAGCCAAATGACGTCCACTGCTGGACAAAGGCCTCCCCCAAGGTTTTCCACAATGAACGGTCCTGCGCTGCCCGCATCCAGGCTCTTTCCGCGACCTTTACCAGATCGTCGGTCCACCTAGTAGGAGGCCTGCCCACGCTACGTTTTCCAGCCCGTGGTCGCCACTCTATGGCTATGCTCGGAGTTTCCCTGCGTGATCGAATCAGAAATGAGGAGATCCGCAGGAGAACCAAAGTAACCAACATAGCTCGCAGAATTGCTATAATCAAGTGGCAGTGGGCGGGGCACATAGCTCGTAGAGACGATGGCCGTTGGGGCAGGAAAGTTCTCAAACGCACCCAATGATTAAATAATGACATTATCGTGAGCAGACGACGGCACATCAAGCTAAATACTTTGGGGTCTTATTTAGTTGTATTAAGAGCGATTTCGTCACAAAAGTGTAACGACTTTGCTACTCAAAGCGATCACAAATTGGAACAATTGGACGAGTGAATAGATAGGTACACGTGGAAGTTTCGAAGGATATAAAGTTTGTCGATCTAATTGGGCTATGTCAGCCTTTGGTGGTTAAATTAGTTACTAAAGTCTCTAGGGTTTCTTACAACCCACACACCGAAGAGAGAAAAGTAGCATAGTTCCAGCTTTGGAATCGATCTGATTGGGCTATATCAGCGCCTTTGGTGGTTAAATTAGTTACTAAATTATCTAGGGTTTCTTACAACCCACACACCGAAGAGAGAAATTTGGGTAAACTTTATCCTTTAGTTTTACTAATCATTCTCATTCCCCTTTAATGATTAACATTATGAATCCAGTGTGATTACCATGAGTTTACGTTATGTGTGCTCGCTAGCGAGTAGGTACGTCAAAAATCTCTATGAAGATTTCATTTCTTGAAAGTAGCCGCTATGGGCGCTGCACAATAGTTCATACATTTTAATGTCATTTTTTACGCAGTCGCTAACGAGCACACCTAACGTTAACTCATGGTAGGCACACTGATGAACCTTTTCAATAATATTGTAATGTATTTAAGTAAACCAATATTTTTGCTAGTAAAATACTTTATTAAGCATTTTACTCGTATTATCCAATGTGTATTCTGTTTTGATATTTCTTTTCGTTTCTTTATAAAAGGAAGAATACTAGTTCATTTTTTGTTTTAAAACATCAAGGTATTCAAAGAGTAGAAAAATTAATCCTCTCTTTACAGATTCTTTTTGCTTTGGATCTCTTTTACTTAAGAAAGTCCTAGGTTTTCTTTAAGTCAGTTGTACAAGAAAAAGCATAAAGAAATCTCAATGGATTATAATTAATTTTTATGTCATCTTCGTAGCTTATTAAATAATGGTATAATGAGGAAGAATTTACAGAACGGTAATATTTTCTTGTTTGAAAGTAAGTTTTGTAAAAAGATTTCATTTATAAAAGATATTGAGACGAACTAATAAGTGTTTTGTTTTATAAGAGCTGAATTTTTCTAGTAGGTAATAAAAGTTGAACACTTTAACGTTTTCAGTATGGGAAATTTATGTCAATATTTTTATTCTTATTTTGATTTTTAATCTTCAGTTAAAAATGCGATTTAAAAATCAGCCCTAAAACATAAATTGGATGGAATAGGTACTCTCAGTTTTGGTTTTCAAGCAACTTTTAATAAACAATAACGATGTGATATTTACGGTATTCCAGGCGCTACCTGGCACAATTTTTTTTCAGTCATGCATGATAGCTAGATTTATATTATATGAGTACGTACATTTTATTATTGAGCATTTCTAGAACGCAATTACTTACAAACAAAAAAAATCTGAACAATGCAACACTATCATTAGTCAATCAATTCGCACACGTCGACCTAATTAGAGCCAGTAGCCATCAATTCGATCGTTTTTTCCGCAACTAATTAAACCAAACACTGGCCTATCGCTCATCTCCCGTCGCCATCGGACGAACAAAAACTTGATTTATCCATTTCTCCCCAATCTATCTTGTCCGAGATAAACTTAAGTAAACGCGGAGCCAGACGCGGAGCGGAAAGCGGGTTTAGTATACAGGGTGGAAACGATAAGACGTGATCTCACTAGATTATTTCTTAACTTTATATTATTATGGAAGCTAGAAACATTGAATTTTCCGATAGATCCAGTTTAATCTGTAACCTTTCATTGATACAGAGCTCGTGAAACACTTTCAGGATCAGAAACCAGATTGTCGATATCTTGTCTAGTTTAGGAATAATCGTATGAGTTCACTTATCGTTTCCACCCTGTATAATATACCCAGTATAATAGTTTTCGAAACTGAGTTATCTACACCATCTTAATCAATTTCGCAAGACGAATCGATCTGTCTAATCGCCTGAAAATTTTGCAAAATGTCAGTTACGTCAGTTAGAGAGGCAAGCGACAATAATATGTCCTCCAGAGCACATACCCGTCACGGCACAAATTTGATTTTAAGAACGCTTTCCTACGTCCCAGTATCTCTTAACCCTACCACTGCTTCGGGGCAATAAATGGGCTAGTGTTGAAGTTCAAAAATTTTAAGCTATTTTTGTGATAAAATATCTTGTCCTAACAAAATTTACGGAATTTTAAGTGCAACAAAAATACGAATGATTATAATATTTGAAGTACACTCGATTACAATTTTTCAATAGTGCGATTTATAGACGCCACACTGGTTTCGCTTTACATTGTAGAGGTGTCTTTATTATACATTTATCTGTATCTATGCAAATGCGAAAGCTCAATATAAGCTCCGGAAACAGTTCCGCCCTCCATCAAGCCCCGCTCGAAGCTCCGCCCGTGCGTGGGAGAGACCTAAGGCGATAGAGAGCTTTTTGTCTTCGGGAATTTGAATCGAACAATGACATTCTCCGAACACTTTTCACTTTGAAGTCGGATCTAGATAAAAAAAAAGTTCAGGCGAATATTTTTTGTAATAATCTTCTAGGGTTTTTAGATAAGTCGTATTAAATAATAACCATTTGTTGGCCCCACTGTTGAACTGTTGGACATATATGGTAAATAACTTTATGTATTTAAAATGTAAGTAGATAAGTATATTAATTAATATTTTTTTTGCGCAATAAAGCACCTATCACTATTACACATTATGTCAATTTCCAAGCAAACCCGGGAGTTTTTGGTAGTTATTTATATGAAAATATATTTCTGATATTAAGTCCTAACAAATAATAGTAGTTACATTTCTGTTGGTTTTACGCCCAGATTCCATAGAAAAGTGCCCATCATCCTTTCAGCCCAGTCCGTCCAGTGGTTTGGGCTGTGCGTTGATAGATCACTATGTCAGTAATTCAGTCGGTCAGTCAGTCAGTTAGTCAGTCAGTCAGTCAGTCAGTCAGTCTGTCAGTCAGTCACCTTTGAATTTTATAAATATAGATTTGTAGCACGGTCATTAAACCACACTTTTCTATCACGCTGTAATGTACCTAACACGTTAATGACCATGTACCTATTTGAACTCTAGTCTGCTTTAAGTGCACTTGACAACAGATATAAAGTTAAAAATTTCCAGCAGTATGTAACTATAGTACAGCCACTAAAACACTGTTATACGACCCGCGAGTATACACGTTGCTTTTCAAACAGTTGCAGTGAATTAGTATCAGTATAGTGCTCGCTCGATCGTAGATTTATGCGCTGAACCGGTGCTATGCGCATGTAATCGTCCGTCCAAAATGTATGCGTAAAATTCCGGATCTGCGTTTGCGATGTGGACCGTAACGATTAACGATTTATATAATAGTGTGTAAGAGTAGGCGCACACCGTTGATTTTTCGTCGGCCGATAGTTTAGTCGGGCAGTTGATCAGTATGGGCATGTATGGGAGTGCGCACGCTACGCCGATTCGATTTGGCCGATTCTTCATACAAATTAAAATCGGGCACAACTATCGGCCAACTAAAAATCAACGGTGTGCGCCTACTCTAAAAGTGCGGGAATGTACCGTTTCTGACCATTGTCATGTTAATACCGATACGGACGCCTCTAATGTGATAATAATACTCGTAATACGTGTTTTGATCCTTTTTTACGTCCCAAACGAAGCCCACCCATTGTTGGCCAAAATATTTGCTGGTGTTGAGAAGTAAACGATGATAGAGTCAGTCATCATGTATATTGTAGTTGGTGAAGCGTTAAAACTTTCAAAATACATAGTATGAGCTTACTTTTTGTTACTCGTACCTACCCTAAGATACCCCTTTTATACAGGGTGGAAACGATAAGTGATCTCATTCGATTATTTCTAAACTATAGAAGATATCCAAAAACTGGTTACTGATCCTGAAAGTGCTTCACGAGCTCTATCCTACGGTACCAATAGTAGGTTACAAAATAAACTGGATCTATCTGAAAATTCAATGTTTCCAGTCTCCATACATTTAGTAAAACTACAGTATATTAAAAACTATACAAGATATCCAAAAACTGGTTACTGATCCTGAAATTGAATCACAAGCTCCATCCAATAGTACCAATCATAAGTTATAAAATAAACTGGATCTATCCGAAAATTCAATGTTTCCAGCTTCCATACATTTAGTACAGCC